CAGTTTAGAAAACAAAAACATAAGACACTCCTCCGTCATCAGTTCAGAAAAAAACCTAAGATACTCCTTGGTAATCCGTTCAGACAAAACCATAAACTCCTCGGTGAGCAGTTCAGAAAAAACAAAGGGCTCCTCAGATGAGCTCAAAATAAACCGTAAACAAGACATAGAAACTCACTCAAGTCGACACAGTGGATAACATCAATATACCAGGGTAGGACAGTCTTAGTAGACATCAGGATCCAGGACGTGAAACACGCGAAGTCGCCGGCAGAAGACTGAGAGATCATCTGGCAACGAGGACACACCAGCGCTGTGTTTATGTATGGTTCAGCTAATTGAGCGCAGGTGTGCCTCGTCGCCAGGAGCGTGCTCCTACGTGAGCAGGTGTGGAGCCGCTGGTAACAGCTGCCGAGGTGCCGGGGACGGCCTGATCCGTGGACGTAACAGAAATATCTTGGCCACATTAGTTGTAAAGCTGGAAAGCACTTGGTCCATTTTTCAAAAGGCCCCTCTTGGTATCAGCAGGATGCCTGTCTGCTCCATGAACCCAATGACCTCAAACAGCCCAATCAACACCATTCCACTGTAACTGGTGAAATCTGAATAAAACCAGGACTTTGGTGGAATTTGCCTTTAAAATCTTAGTTATATATCATATTGACATGATATAATTTCCAGCAATTGCTCAACATCAAATGGGAGGCATAAACTTTATACCCAAACTAGTGGACATCCGTCTATTATCTATACCACTTATCCTGAAAAGGATTGTGAGGGGGCTGGAGCCAATCCCAGCTGACATTGGACAAGAGGCAGGGTCTACTCTGGACAGATCATCAGTCCATCACAGGGCTGACACTTAGAGACAGACAGCCACACTCACTCCTGCAAGCAATTTAGAGTCACCATTCAACCTAAGCTGTCTTTGGACTGTGGGAGGAAGCTGGAGTACCTGAAGAGAATCCTTGCAGGCACAGGGAGAACATGCACAACACCACAAAGCTAGTGTGGCTGGGACTTCAACCCAGAACCTTCTTGCTGTGAATCAACAGTGCTAACCTCTACACCACCATGCTACCCAACTACTGGACATGCATCTCATAAATGTATTACATGTCACTCAGAAATACATTCAGCAGTGCTAAGCACAAAACTTATTATATCAAACAACTAAACCGATAAATGTAAATACTGCACAAATCCTTAAACATACAACAACACGCGTAGTTACTTGGGCACGAGCAAAGAACATGAAATTGATATGGAATCCTTGTTAGCAAACAGTTGGCCATTAACCTGTCCAGCATGTACACAGCAATATTAGCATTCAGCTGGAATCACTACTGACCATCTTTTTACTGTACCAACTCCAGAGGGAAATATCTGGCCATTTAGCAGCTGAATACGTCACTACCTTCACCATCTACTAGCCAATTTTGCCATAACAGTGACATCAAAAATAACTACATTAAAAACCATTGAAATGCTCTCAGAACCATAAAGTTTCTTACCTCAGGGTCATCAATTGTTGCCCCATCTTCATAGTCATAAATATCCTGGTTCTCTGAATTTAAATTGTCTAGATCCACATCATAGTTTGCACTGTCGTATGTGTCCAAGTCCTGTCGGGAAAATCTGGGGCTGGCCACCACTGCTTTGAGGGCGAAGAATCCCAACACAAGCTGCACAAGCATCATCATCATCACCCACCTTAACACATACAGAGAGAAGTCAAGTAAAACAGAGAATGTCCATACAATTGTAAATAGAGTGCAGAACAATGTAGAGAAATTAAACTCTCACAAGGTAGGTAATCACTTTCTTATTTGTTATTTGTCCCACTAGCAAAGTGCTAACCTGAAAAAGGAACATGTAATAACTGACCTTCCTGAAAACCAAACAATGGCAAACCTTGAGGAACTGTTTCAGATAATCAGCTTCAAACTGGTCTGTTGTTATAACTGAACATACAATATGTATTAAAATATAATTCCACCTAGCTGCACTTCAATAAAGCAGGTCTTCATTGTATTAGCTTCATTTTCAAAATGTGCTTTGTATGTGAATGTGGCGTTGTATGGTATGCACCAATCTGCAAATCAGTTCCCCTTTTTGGATGATACAGTGAATGAAGAAAGTAATTATTTGATGAGATTAGCAGTGTAACTAGTCTTTAGTACTGCAAGCCAGGGCTCAACTTTGGGTCACATTATTAAGGGCAGTGAATTCATTACTGCAGACAGCTTAAAAACACAATACTGTATGATGGTCGCTTGTCTCACTAAAGGAACAGTCATCTTGACTCAAATCAGTGCTTTCCTGTGGCATGTCCAAGGTCAGAAGTCAGAATTGATCTGGTAAGGAATCATGGGATTATTTTTGTAGTCTGCAGGGTGAAACACCTCTGAGGAATTTTGGGTGATAGTTTAGATGTATTTCTAGAAGCAGAGATCTTAGGTTACTTTTTTCCAATAAAAGATTGTTAAAGCTGCATTTGGGGCTTTAAACATTTTCTCCAATCACACCAAAACAACTCTGGCAGAAGCATGCAGTAAAATTCTTGGCAACAAATGTGAAATGAGGGCATAGACAAAGGGGTTCTTTCCTAGGTGAATCTAAAATTAGCATGTAAGATTTTTACTGAGTGCAGATCTGCTATGCGCTGCCCTGACCCGCATAGCTGCAGTTCATAATCTTGCTCATTTCCCCAGCAGCACAGATCCACTAGTGCAGCTTAGTGAGGCTGAATCCCAAGTGGGAAGTGCTAAAAAGATTAGGATATGTTAATTACAGCTTAATTAGTGACAGCACAGACTTTCGACTTTTGAATTAATCATGTGACAGACAGACAGGCAGATGCAATTTCATTGCATTAAGTCTCAGTTAGATCATGTCATGCCCAAGAAACAGCAGAAGAATTAAAAAGAGTCCTCTAGGACAGGGAAGAGAAATGGAGAGCGAGGGAAGGGAAGAAGAGAAGAGTGAGAGGGTGAGAAATGTGGAGAAGATGTTGGCCCTCAGGGTTAGATGGAGAAAGTGAAGGAAAGACTGAGAAGGAGAGTGCAAGAAAGAGAGAAACAGGTTTTTAAGCTAACTCGACCCCTCACCCTTTACAGAGGGCCTTTATGAGGCCCGGTCACTGCCTGTCTCAGCACTCAAACTCTAAATTCCACCGAGGTTTGTGGACAGGACGGCAGTGAGTTATGGCTGGAAGGAAAAGCTTCATTCAGCAGTGAGGGTGCTCAGGCTCTCACATACTGTACGTACATGCATGCCCACGCACATCCTCTCACAGATGCACACTGTCTTAACACTCATCTTCTCAGAAAGACAAAAACTGAGAAACTTCAGCTGCTATTTTAAGATGAGGACAGAAATAAAAAAACTCCATCCCTTGGTTATTTAAGTCATGAATCCAATCTTTGTTGATATGAGAGGGATGGAGTAATCACACAAATCAATCCTTTCATTGCCTTTGTAAAATTAATGCACCTGATTGAGAAAAAGTGAGCTGACAGGTTAGCATTCCCACTGAAATAGACTTTCTGTCAGGAGGCTATGAACTGAAGGAAGGACTATGCTAAAGACAGAGGTGTGCTTTTATACAGGTCATCACAGTTTACAGTGTGTGGAAACTGTGTATGAGTGGCCTCTAGACTGAC